TTTTATTTATAAAATTTTAAATACAATAATATATTTATATAATAAAAATAAATTTATAATTTTTTAAATAAACCTTTCATCCGTTTAAATTCAGGATTATCTTTGTTTTTCTGTTCAAAATTTTGATAAATATTTTCATCAATCTGCTTGCATTTCTTAGTATTTTTTGGTATATCTTCAGAGATATCAAGTATAATATCTGATTCGTACAATTCTGATTCTGACAAAAATTCTTCTGGATTTTGTGATTTGTTGTTTAATTCTATGTAATTTGACTGAATTCTAGCTTGTTCAAGATCTATAGATTCTTTTTCTGCTATTAAATTTTTAGTAACAGAATCAACAACTGTTTTCCTTTCTTTTTTTTTTTACATGTATAATCTGAATAATCTGAAATAATATCCAATAAATCTTCTTTGCTTAATTCTTCTTCTTGAACTTTAATTTGCGATGTACTAGATTCAATTTGTAGATCCCAGACTTCTATATCCATATTAACTTCTTTATTTTTTGCTGTTTCATATTCAATATATTTTTTCTCTTCAGATTCTTTAAAAACTAATTTAGATTCTTTTTTTCTTTTTAAATACTCTTATGATCAATAATTTCAATATCTTGTAAATTGGTTTTGTTTTTTAACTTTTCAACAATTTTAGGATAAATGATTAAATTGGCTTCTTTTTTTCAAAATTTTCATGTTCTGAAAGAATAAATTTATCATAATTAATTTGTGGCCGCCAATAAAATCTTTTTCCTTTTCTAAAAAACAATTCATCTTTTTCTTCTATAATTAAAATTGCTTTTTTTTTTGAAACATCTTCGTTAAATTCAATTTCAAATTCTTGATTATTAAATTTTTCTTTAAATCCATGGTGAAAAATTCTCATCACTTCACAACAATAGCATTTGTTTTCACAAACTTTTTCTTCATTTTTTCTAAATTTGTAATATTCAATTACAAAATCAAATCTATCAATTAATGATGCATAATATTTTCTATTGTTCTTTTTGTTTCTTTTTGAATCAAATAAGTATTTTTGATCTTCTGCATAATTATATAATTCACGTAGCGGAGTATTTGAAGTGAAGCATTGTATTTTTGGAGCATAATTTTTGCTTGATCCTTTGATTTGTACCATATATTTTCCACAATCCAATATGTTTAATAATTCTTTCCACTTCATATAATCTTCTTCAAATTCATTGATTATTACTTCTTCATGTTCATTAAAGTTTTCCCACTACTTAGTTTCTTCTGCAACTTTTTTGTATGCATTTGGAAATAAAATATCCAAAAGATGAAACTTTCCTGTTCTTGGAGTTCCAAAAATAAATATATTACAACTTTTTCAACATCGTTCTTGAATTATTTTCTTGTTTTTATTTTTTATTGCTTGCTCAATTGTGTAAATAGGATTTGGATTAGTTAAAAGTAATTGAGGATGTTCCTGAACACAACGAATGAATGCTTCATCTCCGTTAATATTTCCACTCATTAAATCATTCATAATTTCTGTTGTCGCAATAATTTTCTTATTTTTTTGAGAAGAAAATTGATTATTTTCATCTTTATTTTGTGATTTTGTTTTATATGTACCATATTCAAATAGACCCGATTGATCATCATATCTTGCTAATGTTCTTTTGTTGCAACATTCATCATCACACCACTCACACTCTGAATGATCATTCAAAACTTGAAGATTACATCTGCATCTCATAATTTTACTCTTTGGATCATTTGAATTTGATAGTTGATTGTGGTGCTTAAAACAACGATTATATTTTTTCTTATTATAAGCAACTGAATATTCAAAATCGGCATGTGTTGGATCAAAATGAATCTTATCAATTTTCAATAATCCTTTAACTCCTGAATGTTCAGCTTTTTCTAAAATTCTATTTTTTTTCTTATCTCCTATATTGAGATAACTACCTAATCTCATTTGGTTATGTAAAATTAAGCATCCCTGAATATGAATTTCAAACTGATTTTGCTTAGGGTTGTAGTTTTTTTCATATTGATATAAGAAATATCTAAAAGGATTTCTTTTTTTATCTTTAAAATAATTGTAAATTAGAGTATTGAATTCTTGTCTATCAAAGTAATATGTATTGAAATTAAGATAGCGATGCAATTTTCTGTCAAAGGGAATATTGTTCTTTTTAATATTGTTAGACATTTGTTTGTAATTTAGTAACTAATCTAATTTACATACTTAAAATTTTGAACGGTGAAAAAAAATAATTTTCACTGTTCAAAATATTTTTTATTATTATAAAATGTCTATGATTACAAGTACAAAACAAGCTGAACAAACTTTATTATTAAAGTAAAATCGATTTTATTTTGACAAAGTGCTTGAATTAATGTTTAAAAATTATCTTGCAAAATAAAAACGTATACAAAAGAGAAATGAAAATCTACAATAATTTGATGAGTTTTAATCCGTTTGACTTGAAATTTCACAGGCAAACTCTTGAATACCATCTCTAAA